CACCATTATTTGTAAGTTCCTGTCCCTGGTAAACCCTGTGAGCGTAGTTTTATACAATTACAGATTAAGATTGTTCCTCTTATCACTATACAATTAGTTCTGGCCGATAAATATTGGTGAAATTGTTACAAACAAGACAAAACAAAAGCCGCTTATATAGTCTTAACTGTGTAGGTTAGTTTGCCTTATTTTTTAAATGTGGCAGATAAAGTGTGCTGCTGGCTGAGACAAAGCAGCCCCTCCTCTAGCAGCTGTACCTGTAGTGATTCTAGAGCAGCAACAGTATAACGGTTACACGAGGATCAGTCATTATATACATTAATGTCTCGTTGGAAAAAAATCTAAAATGTCAATAAAGAATCTGAATATTCCTGACAGAATTATATTGAGTTTTAAGTTTTGAAAGAATGAAGAACACAGACATCTGTCAGTATCATTTATTCTGTCCTCCTTCCTCTGCTGCTGAGGGTCACTGCCTGCAGGTACCGCTACCCGACCAGGGGGGGGTTTATTGCTATTTTGCTATTTATTTTATCACACATGTTCATATTGCGATGACAACGGAAATATGATTTCTCGGTCAGCACTAATAGCAACAGCTCTTTCCAACCTCTTTCAGTGATTTGTTTGTGCTGTATTCCAGCAGAACCAACTCACACCTTCCCTCATGAGTCTGACTCTCTTATGACTATATTGCATTATTCATGGTTATTTAATGAAACATGTCCTGATTGTGCTCTTATGTTGCTGTCGTTTCAGGACATGATGAAGACTCGTTCCGCGACGTTGACATTGGGATCCTCCTGGTTGAGCATGAAGGTGCTGGTCCCTCATCTTCCCTGCATCGTAGTCCAGCCTAGCTGAAGATCATCCTTGAGGGACAAGTTGTGATCGACAACATTCAAGACCTGCCAAAAGCAATGTGCATTCTGTTTGGTCTTACATACGCACTGCATCTCAACTAGCCCAAGACTATGATGCTCACATTCCAGCTCATCCAAAAGGTTCTTCTCACGTTGGGCCAAGAGGAACTAAAGCCAAGGTTGCAAACATTGAAAAACCAGCTTACAATGTAAAGAAATGCACAGACACTTGTTACTGCCTTCCAGCTGCTAGTGACATCATAATGATCAGCACTGTTCGCTGACCTTTCACTGTCAGGTGTGTGATTTTTCACATACTTATTGTTAAATGTTGTGGGTTCTAATTCCTGTCTTGAAGAGGTTATTTTTGTCAATAAAAACATTGGGATATTTAAATGTATTGTTTCAAGTTTTCCCTTCCAAACCATATTGGTGAAACAATGTATAAATAAAATCCCCAAATCAAAATGGTACAATTCATTTTTATTAAAATACATTTGTTATATTAACACATGATATTAAGCAGTGATAAATAATGTTATTTATTATATTCAGCTTAAACAAGTTATTTCATGCAACTAAGACATAATTTATGTGAACTAATGATTTTGAGATAAGACTACAAATGTAAACTAACTTTTACATCATTTAATCCAAGATATGTTTTCTAGCTAGCTGCAGTTCATAACATCTGCCAGAGAGAGTAGAACATTCAGTCAGCAAAATTAATGGTTTGGGACTAGAAATGATAAGCTGCTGTAAGTAAAGTCTACAATTTGACCATATCATATGGATGTTAGACACAGGCAGGAAAGGCTATGCTGTCCCCAATCATTTGGTGAAATGGGTATGTCAAATAGTTGACAAAATAATGGCACACAAAAACATTACACTATTATTGTATCTGATTCTGTACGACTTACAGAGTGCAACTGAAACCTAAAATCTTAGATAAAGGTTAAATACATATCTTCCCTCTCAGCTTCAATGATCTGCACACAAATCATGTACTTTTGTTTCTTGTATTTCATTCCTATTTTGGCTTTCCATTATCTATTATCTTGGCTCTATAACAACAACAACAAATAACTTGTATTGGAATGTTTTTTAATAATCTTCTTTTGCACTGCTCTTAATGTTTGCTGCAGAAACTTTGAATAGCCTTGTTGTTGACATGTACTTTAAAGAAATTGCCTTTCGTCCTTTCCCTTTTGTTAAATAATAGCCCTCTTTTAATTTTAAAGTAAATATACTTGATTTACTTTAGTCACCTTGAGTTGGGTGGAAATATCAATATAGATACATTTCATCTTTGTGCGTTCAGTAGAAATGTTGGGCCAGGTTGTTTATCCTGATCTGCAAAAAGACTGGAACATGAGCTTGATGTTTTCCTAATATAAAAGAAGCAGGGTTCAAATGTCACATTTAATATGGACATTTTCTTCAACCAAAAAAGGAATAAAACACTTAGCAGGTGTTCTGTTGTAAAGGAACAATGTCCTACCTAATCATTAACATGATTAACTTAAGCTAATGGATGGTTTTAATGTCATATGCTTTTTGGACTTTTGAATCGGGTCACTTCAGAAACTGAGAGATTACTAATGTATGACAAAAAGCGGCCTTGTCTTATCCTGAACGCACAGACCTATTAATCTTGAATGCACTCTCTCTCTGTTTTCCCTCAATCTATCATCATGGTGACACAAGTAATTCCACAACCACAACAAGTTTGTTTGAACACTGAATCATGCAGGGTTCTACTCTTCTAAAGGCAAAACCTATTTGTTGTGGTTATAGTTACTAGGTTTTTGCTAAGACAAAGAACGAAACAAATATTGTTTAAAAGTTTACTCAGTCGATCGCTATTTGTACCATGTTTTTACATTTATTAAAAATGTATACATTTATGTATCCCTTTCGCTATTAGACCAGATAACATTTTGATGAATAATGATAGCATAATTAGGATAAAGGATAATTCATACATGTAATGCATGTATATTGTATCATATATCATCAGTGAGCTCCATTAATATATGTATAAAGTCTGTCTAAATTAAAAATGTATCTATACTCTTTTGATGTATTTCAGATATGTAGGTTACCTAACAATGCAATTTTCTCACCATGCCTGTGTTTTTTGTATGTGTGAGGACACTGGTCACATGAAACACACCACTGAGTTGAAAGACTGATTGGACTAAAATTGCACCGGACATGAGTCACGAGACACATTCTGATGCAGGGCTGCCTTGTCTGGATGGACAGATCCAGATGCAGACAATGCATCCTGCATGCTTAGTTGTTTATGAAAAACACTTTGATACCTGTGCAATGTGCCTATCAATTGGTGTCAAGAGGATTTATAAACTGTGTGCAACCAAATTAACTTTATCTTATCATAGTTGTCAATACAAGAAACAAGCCTCTTTTAAATTGTAGTTTTTACTGTTTGCAAATTGTTGTATCAGCCTTTTATAAATGTGGATGTTTAACTGCAAGGTTCTGACAGGAATACAATCCAGAATGCAATAGAAAGGCTTTTTCCAATGCTACAAGCTATTTTTACATAATCTGTACGAATACACATCGCAACATTAAGACATTAAGACTCCAGCACTTGAACAAGCATCAATTTAAACACGTTAGCGCGGGTAAGTTCTCCTCCTATACTCATCGGACATTATTTGATATATGTCTCAATATGCAAAGTAAGTGACCTTTCCTGTACTGTCCAAGCGGAACACTACATGAACGATTCTTGTACCTTTTGAGTTTCCTGCCGCTGAACAGCCATTTCATTCTTCAGGCTTTTTAAGTGCCCTGTTCAAGGACATCCTGTTGATGTACTGAACTAGTGCTCACTTTACTCAATGCCTTGCCACGCTTTTACACACTGAGGATTGCCATAGCAATATAGCGGTCATCAGCCCACATCCTCCACTTTTAGCCTGTTAATTGTTACAACCTTAGTAGTTACGGGAAGGAAGCAGACTATTTATAAATGCTCTAGCAGACAAGTTTGTTTTACTCAGTGATTGATGACATCTGTTAAAAGAACTATTGTGCTCATATTGCTAGAGAATTATTACAGCAGCTTTCATTGTAATGACTAATAAGATTTAATTTCAGTAAAAAACTATTAACTCTAAAAGAAAGGCAAATACACAAACTTGTTTTAATATTGATATATTTCTTATTATTTAGAAACACAGATTCAACACAGACTGTGGTATGTATTTAGACAAGAGTTGTAGCACTATACTGGTAAGGTTCAAAGTTATCACAAGCCACAAGGTGTGTATTTCATATAATAACAACATAAGTGACAGTTGTGATTTGAACTTACATACAGTGGCACCTACAGAATGTTAATTATTGATAATCATATAATTTTGTTTAATTAATCATTTATTAGTACATTTTATAATTGATATGTATATCTCGTATAGTGGTTTCATACTTTATATTGTGATACTGTTATTTTTTAGTTTGTCACATCGTATAATACAATTTCCATATTGGTACAACCCCAATGTAGATTTTACAGTATGTGCTATAAAATCATACAGTTTAAATAACAGTATGAGCTGCTGGAGAAGTTATTACTAAACAACTTACAATAATGATGCCATGAAAAATAGAGCTTGGAGAAAAGGGAATTACACTCATTTTGTGTATTTAATCATTTAGCTGGATCTCATAATAACCCCTGAATAGACTCTGGTAGTTTTCATTTTCTATCACGTGGGTCTAATTTATTGCAATAATATCTGCGAATATGGAATATACACATAGAAAAATAAGCTATTGTAGTTGTGTGTAAAGACTACAGCCCTGTGCTCTAAGTGTACCAAAACCATCTCTGACTGCTTCCCTGCGTTTGGTGTCTCTAGTGCGATCAATTAATCAATCAGAGCAGTTTTACAAGCCTTATCTCTAAAGTTGCCTCTGCCATAAATGTCCGTGGATGGATGCGTATGGAGGCAGAGGCGCTGTCCAAGGTACTGCATTCAGCCCCTCCCCGGTAGACATCACTGAGAGTAGACACGTGATACGCTCTGTCTGTGGCTCCTGACAGTCGCTGGATAAACTCAACAGGGAAACCAGATTGCACCTTCTCTTCCACAAAGATCACTGGATTTTCGTCCCGCGCTCCCGAGCCACTCCATCCGGGGGTTTCATTTGTCTCTTTAGTTGTGATTCGTCTATTTACTCGGGAAACAAATATTGGACAATGGAATATTTAAGGTAATTTGTTGTATGACTAAGGTTTTGTTTTTTTGTGGAGTTGGAGAGAAATTGGACCCGTCTCTCTCTCTCTCTCTCTCTCTCTCTCTCTCTCTCTCTCTCTCTCTCTCTCTCTCTCTCTCTCTCTTCCTCGCTGATGCTGTGATTCACTTGAAAGCAGATCTTGATGTGAAGGTTTCGCCAGAGTGGATTTGAGGTACAGGCTCTTAAACAGACCGTAAAATATATGGACTGTCGCGGTCTACAGGATTTTATCCCGTGGTATTTGCATGCAATCGATTTTTTTCCCGGCTCTTGTGCCAACTATTCAGGGTCCCGTAGAAGTAGAGGTGTACGCGCAAAGGTAAAAAACAAATAATGCCTCGTCTTCTTCTTGCAAGGAAATGTATAGTTGAGAGCGACTGCAAAAACGCTGCAGATGTGAGCATAGAATAACACTCTAAATAGTGCGCCCTTTACAGCTGTCATCCAGGGTAAGATGTTAAAGTATGGGGCATATTATTGATGACATGATGTCCCGTTTAGGCAAAATATAGCTTTGAAACGCTGCATTCCGGTGAGGATTATGCATGATGACCATTTTAATACCTCCATCACATTTGCTGTTTTTGGAGAACATGTTTCAGGCTGTTTAAAGTGCAGTGCCCAACAAAACCCGATGTGCATTTGTCTTCCTTGAAATGCAAACTAATTGCGTAGATTGAGAATAAAGCTACTGTGTTTTTTTTTCCATCTGAATATTTAACGCGTTTAGTGTTTGGAAGGAAAATCTGAATTCCTCTCGTTGTCCGAAAAATAGTAACGAGCCAAATGTAATGGAGAGCACATTTTAGGGGTCTGAATGAGATCCAGTGGCAACCCGACCGGTTCATTTTTACACAAACCGACCATTGTGAATCAAATGACGCACTTTTTCTGTTAGGTCTTCAAGTGAGGAGAGGCCAGTGAATATTCTATATCGGAATGCTGCTCATAATGGCTATTTACGGCCGCAGAAGTTGTATCGAGTGTAAGCAAAAGTGTTAATCCGTAGAAGAAACAATGAGAGTTGAAAATCGGCAATTTCCCTTTCGGGCTACTTAAACCGGGACTCTCTCAGGAATTGTTTTTAGACATGCAATCAATGATGTATAATTCGCTGATGTTTTTTTTCTTTCTTACACTACATGAATATGCGCACTGTTGTTTTTTCTTCGAAGAGCTGCATTTTAAGACACATTTCTGCACACTATGAAGTCATGTGTGGATCGAGTGATACGGAAAGTCCAGAGCTGCTGTATGCTTCCTAAGCCCTGGCGATATTCATCTATTGATATGGCTCATGTTTGTTGCAACAAAGGGCCTCTTTGGACATAAGGGCTTGATTAGCTGTAGGCCTACTTGATTTGGATGTGGTGGAAAAAAGCTGATAATGTATTACATTTGCTTTTTTCTTGCAGAGAGCTTTGGGAGAGAGGACTGCCTTGACAGACAGACTGCTTATTTTGCCGAGCTTATCAGCCAACGTGTCTCCATATGGCATTTTTTCTCAATGTTACAGAGGATTCAGGGTGAGAAGCCCCGAGCAAGGCTTCCTGTTACCCGCCAAAGAATGTTGGCATAAACATGAAGATTTAAGCTGCTATTTCAACTCAAGTGAAACTGTGCACACACTAACTGGCACCAGAAGGGACCGTTCCATAATTACATAAATTAGATTGAGTGTGCCCGATGGATATTTGAATCTCTGTCACTTTGCTCTAAATAGCCATGGCAGAGAGGACCTTTAAACAGTTCAAACTAATTTGGCGCGAACTGTGAGATTTTTGGCCAGTGGCCTGGACAGTGTGAGGTAATGGTATTTGCTCCAGGATATAACTATTGGCAAAGCATATTGCTATGCAAGCATTAAATAGCATTTAATATTTGTTCTTACAATGCATCAGTTTACACTTGTTTACCAATGTAGAGAGTCACTTGTATGCCAGCCTACTCTCTCAAAGTCAACTGAATATATTTATTGCTGGACCAAAGGTTCTCATAAATAAACTCAGCCTAATAAGTTCCTGTCTATCTGCACATATTTTGCGATCACATGATGGTTTTACAAAAGCCACATAGTGCCCATATCATATGGGCTGGGCTGCTCATTTTGTGCTTTGCAGAAATAGGCACTTCTCTAGAATTTACAGATGCTGAAGGCCAGTGGGCCAGATTTCCAGTATGGAATGCATGTTGCGAAAGCGAAATGAGCTTCAATATGAAGACAAAGAGTTCCCATGGGCTGCTTGTGTACTTCGACGATGAGGGGTTCTGCGACTTTTTAGAACTTCTCATACTGAACGGTAAACTCAGCCTTCGTTTTTCAATCTTCTGTGCCGAGCCTGCAACCGTCGTATCTGACACGGCGGTCAATGACAGCCAATGGCACGCAGTCACGATAAGGAGAAACTTTAAGAACACGACCCTAAAGGTAGACAATGAGACAAAATGGGTCGAGGTGAAGTCCAAAAGACGGGATATGACTGTTTTCAGCCATTTGTTTGTTGGTGGAATACCACCGGAATTACGATCCGAGGCGTTACGGCTCACATCATCTACAGTCAAGGATCAGCTACCTTTCACTGGTTGGATAACAGACATAAAGGTCAACAACACGGAGTCTGTCATGATTAACAGTGACGGGGTCTTGAAGGACCTCTGTGGACTGGCCAACATTTGCTTAAATGGAGGAATCTGCAGTCTAATTAACAACGAACCAACATGTGACTGCTCACGGACGGGGTTCCAAGGAAAGGACTGCAGTGAAGGTAAGACATCTGAATTCAGTTCAGACATACAGTCGGAACAACATGTCCTCCTTAGCTTTTTCATTCTGCCACAATGTGAACTGATTCAACATCAAATTCAAGTACCCTTTTGTCATGTAAATCACTCTTAAAGTAATCCTTTCCTCTCATCAAATTGGCAAAAGCCATATGTTTGTTTTAGTCTTACGATGTGTCATCGATCTGCAATTATGTTGTTTGTATTGAGTGAATTTCCTGCAAGGCCTCATTAGCAAAACATGCAGGTGTTCTCCAGCCCCAAAGGTGTTTTCCGTTCTTATCAAACAGGTCCATTGGGATTGGTTGACCTATGAAACATCTCCAATGGCTTACCTCAAATGCATGAGAAGGAGTAATCATCTAAGAGTAAACATGAATGATGTCACTAACCTAAATATACATCAAAAATAAACGACCCATAGATATGTTGAGATGACAACACAATTAACATATTAACTGAGTTGTGTTTAGTGTAATTTAATATTTGATACCAGGATTGTATATTATAGATTGATTTAAATCTCCCCACATTATGAAATCATTAAATAAACTGTGGCATGACTAAGCCACAACTTTGCTCAAAACTCTCACCCTAATTTGTTAAATAAATCTAACAGATAACAAAAAAACAGCTGTTTAATGTGGGAGAATAACAGGCCTAAAGACCAAGCTAATCAATACAAAATGAGAACATGGGGTTCTTTGAGGTAGTGAAAATATTCACTGTTGTTGCCATAAATATTGTGATCTCAGGATGTCTTAAATTAAAATGTTTCTGCAGGCTTGTTGGTCAGGCTGCGTGTCGATGGGGGAGGGGTGTGTGTGTGTGTGTGTGTGTGTGTGTGTGTGTGTGTGTGTGTGTGTGTGTGTGTGTGTGTGTGTGTGTGTGTGTGTGTGTTTGTGTGTGTGTTTATTTATGTATCTCTTATTTAAGTTTGTTCAGATACTGATCGACTCATTTTATCATTATGGACTAATGTCACGTAAATAGGCCATGATATACATTTCATTTAATATCGCCATGTATCTTTATTCAAGCACATACATATTTTATTAACAATAGGCTCATTAGGCCTGCGTTGGATAACTTACTACTGCAGCAAAAGATATTCCCATCTGATTGTCATTAGTCATTGAGGCAAATATGAAGCACCACCAATTAGAATGTCCTCTCAACAGTGTGTAGGCTATGTTTCATTCTCTGCTGCATTCATGTTTGTTACAACAATGAGACGCAGCGTAGTGCTTTGACCAACCTCATGCACTGACAGAATGAATAATTGTTGCTGTAGTTCACTAAGGGGCTTTCAGTGTTGGGCAGCATTAAGTATTTGTTTATTTAACAGAGGCCGCACTGAATCAAAGCAACCTTAATAAATGCAGATGAGAGCTGAACTGTGGCAGGAAACAGTAGTATTTCTTCCTCTTTTTGAGCACAGTCTATAATTATCAGTCTATTATTATATTGCCATTATTTATTGCACTTGAATGCCTTGTTCCATTTGTATATCACTGGGAAAAACAAGTCAGCAGATTTGAAAGCTGTTTGTGTTAAAGGGGACAGTAATTGGATACAAAAAACTCCCTTATCTCTTTGGTTCACTGTCAGTAAGCATTTGGCATTTGTTGATTGCACTTTGACAAATGTCTTGCCCCTAAATGTACGAGTTTATTATAAGGTACATAAGCCCACTTGATATTTTTCCTTTGCACTAAAGTGGGAAAAAGAAGTATGACTATTTTAGGATCCTAACCGTCAGTTTTTGAAGGACACAACAAAAAAAAGAGAAAAAAACAGGACTTCTGTTATTTCTAATATTTTAATATAAGGTACTCTTGGTTATGTTTATTGGTGGCTCTTAATTTAAATCAAGAAATTCTAATGTTAATACCTTTATGACTATGAAATAACTAATTGGTTATGTTATTGCAGTGTTAAGATACAATTTGTAAAATATATTGTCTTTGTGCTGCATGTGGGATGATCATTCATTGTGTAAAGAGGTCAATGTAATGAATATACCATTAGAATAGGGAACAGATTTACTGTAGTTCTAAAGATAAAAACCCTCAAAGATATATTCTAATCACTTTCCATGTAGCATGCCTATATGCACACTTTTAGAAGAGATTATCTAATGAAGTCTTAAACGTTTGATAGTATGGACTCTGAAACAGCTCTGATAAATAAATCTCAAAGAAACATAAATATTCATTAACAACAACTGTAAAGATACAAAAAAATGTAATGTGAAATCCTGAATTATACACAGTCTTACTAGTTGTAGGTGCCGCAGTGACTGTGATAAAGGAGTCACCTTCCCGGTATTTGTAAATTCACTGAATGAATTCATTTAGCAAGATCGTAAAAAAGGTGTGAGGGAAAAAAGAGCAGAATCTTTAACTCAGTCAAAAAGTATTTAACGGTAGTTGTACATCTGCTAGCTCATTAAATATACCCTGCCTCAATTACCACGCCGAAGCAAGGAAGATAAACTACAGGTTACAAAACTGAAGTAATTAGATCCACAAGATTACACAACAGAATACTCAAAGACTAACAGGCAATATGTCAGCGGACACGTCTGCTGCCATCACCCCAGACGGACCAAAAGCAGAAAGCAGGACTGAAAACCCTCTCAGTCACACCCCTGCACTGCACGATGGAATTAGACCCACAGTTTAGAGGTTTTTCATGAGAGGCAGCGCATTACGTCATCTTCTAATATTGTTTTTCATAGCTCATCGTTGTGACAAGTCTTGTGGTGCTGGTCACTTTGGTGCAGCCAGTGTGTTAGCAAACAGTTGCTCTAATAACACACCCAATAGAAGCATTCACATTCATTTAGAATTGTGTTCCCCAATGAATTTCATTACAATATGTATTCTTTTTGTTGCTCTGTCTTGGTCTCCACCATCTCCTGAGGGGAAATCTGACTGAATAGCAGCTAAAAGATTTATTCTCTCCATCAGATAGCTGCTTTTTTGGCTGTTTGATGCTTGGTGGGTATCGTTTAAGGATTTATCAGGGTGCAGAGAACATGTGTCTCCTGCTGTTGATGAAAGTGGTTAGAAAGTACTAAAATGTTAAAGCTGCGCGTCATTAAACCAAAACAATGGCCAAATGGTGGTAAAAGGCAAAGTTTGCTGATCATTATTTGTGGGTTTGTCACAACAAGCAGCCCCACTCGCATGCATGAAGTAATTTGATTCTCTGTTAAAATATTGATCATTATTTATTCATGCTGTTTTAAAACGGTTTGTTCATCTAAAATATGAACATTTGATCTTAGCGTATCACATTTCTCTGCTTGTGTGCCTGTAAAATGAAAATCATCACAGTTTTTCCATTGCTTTAAAATCTTTCCAAATAGCAACAAAGAGCTGCTTTAAGCATCAATGACATTTCTTATGACACATTATTTTTTGGGCTAAAACACTATTAAGACTGATGTTCATGCTAAACTCTTTACAAATACTATATTTTACATTTATGTTGAGCCATTATTTTTGTTTTACTATATTTGACACCAGGCCATAATAAGATTGGTAATACTACCTGCAATGAAGAGAGACTGCTCTTTATGGCTCATTTCTGCATTGCGAGACATAGATTCAATTCCCAGCTGAGCCATTCATGCTGAAACGGTATGAACTCATGGTACCTTAAGTCACTTTGGTTTAAAGCATCCAGCCAATTCTACCTTTTCCATCTAATTCAGTATTCTAGCAAGTAAACAGATTTGTTTCCGACCTTAAGGCAATGTGGTATTACTGCTTGCTTTCGCACCATCCTGAGCTGCATGGGGAAGGCAAGCACAAACAACTACTGCTAATTTTATCAGACCACAAATTAAAAAAATTGATTAAAGCTAGTGTTCTAGCCTCAATAAATGTTCTTATCCACAGTGGGAATCACATTTAGAGTCATATAGATATGTCCTCTCGTGTACACAGTGCTTTGATTCACCTCCAAAGTACATTGGAGGTTGAAATTTACCTTTCCATTAAATCATTTAAAAGCTGTTGTCTTACTTTGATCAGATGAAAGGATTACAGGATTTGCCACCAGACCTGTCAAGCCTCCGCTGTCCAACCACAAGCTTGCACATTTCATGGCCTCACACAAACCCACACACGCACATATAAATCCCTTTGATCGGTTGAAACAATTATTTAAATGCATTGTTCCATGGCCAGTAAGTTCCCAGAATCTGTCTTTCCTTTTTTCTCATTTGATAAATAACATAGATACATTGGAGAGCTCCATATTTTATCCTCACAAAATGGAATGATGTTTATTTCATCGTACATTAGCTAAGCATAAAATGTAGTCCATGGTAAAGAAGTAGGGCAGATCTAAACTGAGAGCGTGGAGTATTTTATTTTTTATTTTGTGCATTATGCAATTGAAAGGACAACTCCCATTGACTGGACACAGAAAGTAGCTGTGATTGCAGGGCACTTTCATTTTGTGATTTTAGCTGAGAGTATAGCTTCAAGGTATTTTTAAAGATACTGATTACGGTAGTTGAAAGTCCCCAACTAACGTCAAAAGGACTTAGTCAGATGTCTTAAGCCACTAGCTCTGCTGATGTACGGTGATGGAGTTAAACTGATGAAAGTAATTGAAATGAATTCCCACCTAATATCACATTCGAATCACAATAAGCAGCTATTTTGGTTATGTAAACTCCTTTAGTCACTGAGCAACATCCCAACAAATCGGTGACTCCCTGGAATATTAATGGCATTTTTACATCATCTGTCACACCAATGACTCGCTACCTACATGCCATTACACTCACTAAGTAGGTGGGAAATGTCCAACATTTGTGTTCTTTTGGAGTCATTTACTGCTATGTTAGCTCCATTTTGGTCTCCACCAACTCAAGGGACATTTGGGTAGTGTGCGGTGGGTTTATTAGAGTTCAGTCAAAAACAGTTTAATGCACTGTGTCAATGAAGTTGAAAATAGCCAT